ACGTCTCCTGGTTCTGTTGGACGTCTCCTGGTTCTGTTGGACGTCTCTAAGTTTTACTGGTGTTTTGGGTCCCAGGGATGCTTCTCTGTGGTTCTGCTGCTCCGGTACTCGGCCTGGAACTGGAACGCTTGTTCTGAGTATTTTCTACACACTGAATACAGAACCAGCAGGTCCAGAACCAGCGGGTCCAGAACTCTGCTCCCACCGGATCAGAGCCGGTTGTTTGGTCGTAGGAGAAGCAATAAATCAGAACTTCCTGTGACGGACTTGGGGACGTTTTACAAACCGGGTCGAGGTGCGGCGCCGACGAGCCATCGATCCGTTTCGGGCAGAGCCCGGAGGTTCTGATGCGTTTGAAGCCAACGCCGGTTCACCTGGAGGTTTGTGGAGCGGTTCTGACCCAAATGTGCCGAGCTTCGCTTCTGTCCTCTCCAGGCTCTGAGAAGGACGGCACCGTTCTCAGAGCTGTTCCTGTCGGACCCGCTTCCAACCAGAACCTGAAACCTCTGCTTCCTGTCCTGAAGTCCGGTCCATTAACTCATCAGAACCGGTTCTTCAGGGCAGAACGTTGAGCTGCAGATTTTAAAAAAGTTTAAATTTATAGTTTTCTCTGATCCACACAGGCTCAAATGAATACATACACCCCACCAACACTTAATTATTAATTGATTGATTATAGTTAATTATAATTAGTTAATTATAAATATTACTGTAATCGTTTAGTTTTTATTTGATTATAATTAATAGTTTAATATTCAGTCAGCTCCGTGAGTTCTGTTGAAGCTGCAGTCAATCATAAACACTAACAGGAAGTTAAGAAGCCTTGTCAAATTAAAAGCTCTTCAACTTTATTTGCTGTAGAACCGTTCCCTGAAAACAAAGTACGTCTTTAAAGGACAGAACTTTTGGACATTCCTGTCCATGAAGCTTTGATGGAACCTGCCTGCAGCTGTTTTCAGCTCCGGTCCGTTTCTTCCTGACCAGGTTTTTCTCTGCTGAATGTTGCTGTTTGCTCTCACCAGTTCTGGTTCTGGTTCTGGTTCTGAAGGTCTGATTCCAAACATCTCCTGTGGGTCTTTCCTCTGCATGTCAATGCCGTCTGTAACGGGCCCACCTGCAGAACTTTGGCCTCTGTAAAGTGCTTGGTTCCGGTCCAACCACCAGAAACTGTCTCAGATGTCCATGCGTCCTGGGGGGACGCTGTCTCTGTCTCTGTCTCTGTCCTTCCTACCACTGATCTCTAATAAAATCATTCCATGTTTCTCTGCTCAGTCTCTGATTCTGCACAAAAACACACAGAACCAACAGAATCGGGTTTTATTTGGATTTCAGCTAAAGGTTAAAGAAAAAACACAAATCATGAAATAAAAGTCCACAGAAGACATGAGGAACACATGACTCAGCAGGTCTGAACCAAGGACCAGAACTGGACTTTCCACAGTCCAGCTCTGGTCCTTCGGCCACCCTCCTGCAGGTCAGTTTGGACCGACAGAAACCACCAAATGCTCTGATGCAACAAATAATGCTGGTTCTGGGACACACTCAGACCTGGTCTGGTTTTTTGGGTGGTGGTGGGATGTCTAGTGGTTCCACAAGGACCATCCAATAAATCTTGAGTTCACCTTCTGAAGATTTTAACAGTTTACTTTTTAACCCTGAACAGAACTGTAAATATGGTGTTCTACAGAAGTTCTGACTGTTCTTCACAAGTTCTGACTGTTCTTCACAAGTTCTGACTGTTCTACAGAAGTTCTGACTGT